ATTGTATAAAGGGGAATTGGCTTCTGAAACACATTGTTTAAATGAGGGTTTGACTTGTGGGAACATGTTTCAAATTAGTGGTTGACTTTTGGAACGTATTGTATAAAGAGGAATTGACTTCTGAAACACATTGTACTTCTGGAAACATGTTTTAAATTAGTGGTTGACTTTTGGAACACATTTTTTTAAAATGAGGGTTTGACTTCTGGGAACATGTTTTAAATTAGTGGTTGACTTTTGGAACACATTGTTTAAATGAGGGTTTGACTTCTGAGAACATGTTTGAAATTAGTGGTTGACTTTTGGAACACATTTTTTAAAATAAGGGTTTGACTTCTGGGAACATTGTTTAAGTTAGTGGTTGACTTCTGGAACACATTTTTTTTAAATGAGGATTTGATTTCTGGGAACATGTTTTAAATTAGTGGTTGACTTTTGGAACACATTGTTTAAATGAGGGTTTGACTTTTGGGAAAATTGTTTAAGTTAGTGGTTGACTTCTGGAACACATTGTTTATGCGAGGGGTTGACGTTTGGAATGTACTGTATAGCTTAAATGATGAGTTGATTTTGGAGCGTATTCTTTACATGAGTGATTAATTTCTGGAACATAATGTATTTCTTAAATGAATATTTGACGTCTGGAACACATTATATTATTTAAACGAGGGAATAAATTTTGGAACATAATGTACTGTTTGAATGAAGGGTTGACTTTTGGAACGTATTTTTAAAAGGGGAGTTGACGTCTGGAACACGTTGTTTGTGTAATTGGTTTACTTCTGAAATTTATATTACCTGCTTTGTTAAATACAAATGCCTCTCAGTGGCTCAGTCTGGGGGCTTTCAGTGCTAGAAAATTCGGGTTTTAATACCTGTTGTGGGCAGAGCACAGATACTCCTTTGTGCAGCAACAAAAACAACAAATTACAGATATCTCCATGACTCAGGAAATTATTTCAAAAATGTTATTTTAAAGTTATCAAGGACTACACCCACTTGTGAGTTATTTGTATTAAGGACTACACACACTTGTCAATTATTTGTATCAAGGACTACACACACTTGTCCATTATTTATATCAAGGACTACACCCAATTGTCAATTATTTGTATCAAGGACAACATTCACTTGTCAATTATTTGTATCAGGACTACACCCACTTGTCCATTATTTGTATCAAGGACTACACACACTTGTGAGTTATTTGTATCAAGGACTACACCCACTTGTGAGTTATTTGTATCAAGGACTACACCCACTTGTCAATTATTTCTATCAAGGACTACACCCACTTGTGGATTTTTTTCATATTAGATGTTCTACTTTATTTTATGCGGAATCTAACGTTTTATATCTTGTTAACATATACCAAATCCAATAGGAATGTATTCTTAGCCTATCCTGTTAACAGACCACCAATACAATAGAGAAGTATTCATAGCCTATCTTGTTAACATATACCAAATCCAATAGGAATGTATTCTTAGCCTATCATGTTAACAGACCACCAATACAATAGAGAAGTATTCATAGCCTATCTTGTTAACAGACACCTAATTCAAAAGAAAGGTATCAATAGCCTATCCTGTTAACAGACACCTAATTCAAAAGAAAGGTATCAATAGCCTATCTTGTTAATAAACAACCAATCGAATAGAAAGGCAATCTTAGCCTATCCTGTTAATAGACAACCAGTACAATAGAAAAGCATTCCTAGCCTATCCTGTTAACAGACAACCAATACAATAGAAAGTTATTTCTAATCTATCCTGTTAACAGACAACCAATACAATACAAAGACATTCCTAGACTATCCTGTTAACAGACAAACAATTCAATAGAAAGTTATAGTTAGTCTATCCTGTTAACAGACAATCAATCGCATAGAAAGGTATACATAGTCTATCCTGTTAACAAATACCCTGTTAAGAAGGGTATCCATAGCTTATTCTGTTAACAGATAACAAATACAATAGAAAGGTATTCTTAGCTTATCCTGGCAACAAACAACCGAAACAATAGAAATATTTTCTTAGTCTGTCCTGTTAACAGACACCCAATCGAAAAGAAAGGCATCCATTGCCTATCCTATTAACAGACAATCAATCCAATAAAAAAGTATTATTAGTCAATCGTGTTAACAGACACCCAATCTAAAAAAGGCATTCCTAGCCTATCCTGTTAACAGACAATCAATCGAAAAGAAATGCATCCATAGCCTATCCTGTTAACAGACAATCAATCCAATAAAAAAGTATTATAGCCTATCCTGTTAACAGACAATCAATACAATAGAAATGCATTCCTAGCCTATCCTGTTAACAGACAATCAATACAATAGAAATGCATTCCTAGCCTATCCCATTAACATGCACTCAATCCAAAAGAAAGGCATTCCTAACTTATCCTATTAACAGACAACCAATGCAATATATAGGTATCCGTAGCCTATATTCTAATAGTCACCCAATCCAATAGAAAGGTATTCTTAGCTTATCCTGTTAACAGACAAAAAATACAGTAGAAATGTATTCTTAGCCTATCTTGTTAACATATACCCAATCCAATAGAAAAGTTTTCTTAGCCTATTCTGTTAACAGCCAATCAATCCAGTACAAAGGTATTCTTAGCCTATCCTGTTAACAGACAACCAATCCAATAGAAAGGTATTCTTAGCCTATCCTGTTAACAGATACCCAATCCAAAGAAGGGTATCCATAGTTTATCCTGTTAACAGACAACCTAAACAATAGAAACATAGTGTTAGCTTATCCTGTTAAGAGACATCCAATCCAATAGAAAAGCATCAGTAGCTTATCCTGTTAAGAGATAACCAAAACAATAGAAATATATTCTTATCATTTCGTGTTTACAGACACTCAATACAAAAGAAAGGCATTCCTTGTCTATCCTGTTAACAGACAACCAATACCATAGAAGGGAATACGTATCCAATCTTGTTAACAGACAACTAATCTAATAGAAAGGTATGCATAGTTTATCCTATTAACAGACATCCAATAAAAAAAAGTATTCTAATCCTAGCCTGTTAACAGACAAACAATACAATAGAAAGATATTATTAGCCTATCTTGTTAATAGACACCCAATACGAAAGAAAGGTATTCATAGCCTATCCTGTTAACAGACACCTAATTCAATAGAAAGGTATTCTTAGCCTATCCAGACACCTAATCCAATAGAAAGGTATCCATAGCCTATTCCATAAATGTATTACCTAATAACATGAGACCTAGGAAACATAAGTTACCTTTTAATTTGAGATGTAACATACGTAACCTAGTAACGTGAGATGTAACATACGTAACCTAGTAATGTGAGATGTAACATGCACACATTAAATGTAAGGTGAAACATAATAAACATACATTATCTAAACACTTTGTAAAAAATACATTATAAGTGGTTTAGTAACGTGAGAAGTATCATGATTATGCAACATACTTACGTAGCCTTGTAACATGAGATGTAACATAATTATCTTACCTAGTAACGTGAGAAGTATCATGCTTACGTAACCTAGTAACGTGAGACGTAACATACGTAACCTAGTAACGTGAGAAGTGTCATGCTTACGTAACCTAGTAACGTGAGATGTAACATACGTAACCTAGTAATGTGAGATGTATCATGCTTACGTAATTTAGTAACGTGAGATGTAACATGATTATGTGACCCAGTAACGTGAGATGTAGCATATTTACGAAATTTAGTAACGTGGGATGTAACATGATTATGTGACCTAGTAACGTGAGATATAACATATTTACGTAACCTAGTAACGTGAGATGTATCATGCTTACGTAATTTAGTAACGTGAGATGTAACATGATTATGTGACCTAGTAACGTGAAATCTAACATGATTACGTGACCTAGTAACGTGGGATGTAGCATGCTTACGTAACTTAGTAACGTGGGATGTAGCATGCTTACGTAATTTAGTAACATGAGATGTAACATGATTATGTGACCTAGTAATGTGAAATCTAACATGATTACGTAACCTAGTAGTTTGAGATGTAATATATTTATGTAATCTAGTAACGTGTGATGTAACATATTTACGTAATCTAGTAACGTGAAATGTAACATGATTACGTAACCTAGTAGCATGAGATGTAGCATATTTACGTAATCTAGTAACGTGTGATGTAACATATATACGTAATCTAGTAACATAAGTTTGTTTGTTTTCGGATATTTGCGCAAAGCTAATTAAGTGCTATCTGCACTAACCATTCCAAATTTTGAACTGATAAACTAGAGGGAAGGCAGCTAGTTAGCAGTAACCACCGCCAACTTCTGGGCTACTATTGTCTGACCGGAAAAAGGGATTTGATGATCACTTTTATAACGCACCTGCGCCGCCAAAATGCGAAGCACGATTTCTTTGGCGGCAATAGGACATGAACATTAGACCAGCACATCCGTATCACACCACGTTGACCACTGGGCCACGCCCGATTCCAATTGTGTGAGATGTAACATGTTTATATTACATAGCAAAGTGAGACACAAAAAGCATACTGGTACATCACATGAAATCGTGAACAGCAAAATGCGTACGCTGTCTAGTAACACGAGATGTAACATGCCCACGTAACCCAGTATCTTGAGATGCACATGTTGTCCTTAGGGCCCCCTAGTGAGATTTCACCAAAAAAAGTACAATTTTTTTTATAAGCTCTTATTCGAGATATTATGATGAAAACATTATCTCAAATCTGCAAAGATGTTTTGAGCTCCAGTAATCAAATCATAAAAAAATGGGCGAATCTTTCCAACGTTTTGTTCTGTAATTCATACTGTCGCCATCTAGATAATACGTTTGTTGTTATGCGGGTCGTACCAAAACGAGGGCTATGTCTTTTGTTTTTTAATACTCGTTCTAATGTAATCGCAGAGTTATGAGCGCGATTAGGAAAGTATTCGTTATGAAGCTGGTTTTATACTAAACCCAAACACCGTACTCACCCTCCTGGAGGTGGTCTTGGAAAGACTCTACTCTCTGCAACTGACAACTCTTTCATTAAAGAATGGTCATCCATACTCTTGTTAACACTAGGTTCGAAGTTAGTAGATGGCTTAGGTAAAGTGGGATCCTTCTTAATGGACAAAATCCCTGTATCCCGAATAACGACAGTCTCTTCCTGAGCGGTTGGGATATTTCTACTCTCAGAAAAATTTGGATCTTTTTCAAAGTAAGATATATTTACACTCTGAATAACAGCAGGTTCCGTAGTACTAGAAAGAACCCCTATATCCTCGGCATCAGGGTTTTTTTTTGCAAAGGTTGAGAGAGGACTGTCTTCCGGAACAACAGGATTTTTCACAATGGACGATGTCACTCTGCTTTCAACATCAACAGGGTCTTTAATATTTGACGGGTTGTCCGTAAAATCAGATAGAGCTTTAACGGTTGAAGTTTGTCTACTTTCGAAAATAATGTTAGGCTTAGTATCTCCTGCCAAACTCACTACACAAACACAAACTATCAAAGTTACAAGTTTCATATGTTTATACAAACTCACTGCCCTAGCTTTATTAACTGTCATTTTCTTAACTTTAGGCTAGTCTTCCCTTTAATCTCGACTGTCCCGCTCTTTCGATGCCTCTATATGTTCAACGCGCACCTAACCAACTGTATTTCTGCTCTACAGCATCAGTGTGCCTCGAACTGCACGTACTGGGATCTTAACAACATCATCCAAACCTGGTTACACTCCCCTAATAAATGCATCACTTAGTCCACCAGCAACATCAACGGATCGTAATTACCTGGTTACCACTTTTTGACTTACACCTGTCTTGCCAACGAAATGTTATGCCTGAAGGCTCTTTTAAGGAAATCTGGGATAACAAAGAACATCAGATCCATACTGCACACATAATTTCAACGGGTAAAAGCAGGTTCTAAAGATCTAGTTTATTTATATTACTTCAAAGCCAACCAATGAGAGCAGCATGTTGTGTTGAAACATGTTTTTACCTGGTCACGGTTGATAACAATAAAGTTCGGTAAGCCTTGTCCTATATTGTTAGTTTCCTAATTTACAAACAACATTGATAGTCTTCTAATATTTTCCAGGAGTTTCTTTATTCGTAGATCAAATAAATCTTTTGATGCTATTATCACGTGACGCTAAACAATGATTATACAATCAGCATCAAGAGTAGGTTAATCACGTGAATGTACATTGTATTATTTCGCACAATTTGTTCACATTTATATCAAACCAATAACTAGGTAAATATTGGTTTATCAAACAATAACATAGATCTGAGGCTTTTCTTATTATTCCGCAATTAAACAGACAAACAAGTTCTTGAACCTTCGCCATTCCTGTTTTTCTCAACTGTTCGAGAATTTTTGTTTAAATTATACCTATCGTAGATAACAGTCTTCAGAAAGTCACCGGTTGGCTTAAAATTGAAAAAAAAAACACTTCACATCAGGTTCTGAACTATTTAACGTCGAAAAGTTCATGTCTAATTATAACACTTACATCAAGGATATTTCTCCGCGTATATTACTGCTCCGATAATAATAATAAAGCTGGTATGTGCCGCTTAACTTGGGTTTGACATCTAGTTAAACGTGAAATTAAAGTCTTGTAGAATTTATTTTTAAAAGAAGACGAAACAAAAATAGATTTGTTAATGTTCGAAAAATGCGTTTGGTATTCATTGCACATACGTCACCGATAGCCGGAACTATTTTCTTAAACGTGCCAATAGTAGCTATATTCTCTCACGTCCTGAATTCCATGTATTCTTACAAAATCAATGTTGCCTTGGTAGGTGCTGTTTGTTCTATCCTACTCTTGATATAGAACAAAACGCGACTTATTTCAACCAATCATAACCCATGATGAAACCACAAGTATTCTATATTCGTTACAGAACAGCTACCACAAGATCAAAGATGCAATTGTTTACTAGTTCTCGAAACATTCAAATTATCTAAAAATCAAAATAAGATTAACTGAGTGATTCGTTTCTTTGTGTTTATTCTTAGCTTATCTTATTTGTGTCATTGTCTTCTCGGTAATGTAGTTTCACAGCAGATAAGGAGCGTTACTAGCCCACGGATATTCAATCTCTGTAGCAACAGTGTTCTTTAAATAAATATGTTATTAGTTGGTGGTAAGCCTAATACTTGTCGATTTTACATAGAATATCAACAACAGTGAATTGAAAAATACACATTATACAATGGTGAATAATTGTTCACATTTATTGTAATTTGTTTGTATATTTCAACATTTTTGTGCAAAGCTACAGAAAGCTCTATCATGGCCTTCTCTACTTTTGAACTGATAGGCTAGCCACACAGCGCCAACTCTTGGGCTATTCATGTTTGACGGAATAGTGGTATTTGACCGTCACCTTTATTGCTCATCTACGACCCCATAGTATGGAGCGCATTTTTGAGCCATGGGCCACGAACCCACAGATTCACTGTCCGTGCACTCTAATTACTTGGCCACTCCCAGCTTATTCTCTTCACCATGCTTTATTTACGTTTGGTTCACTGTAAACAAACAAATAAAAAAAATGTACAGGTGCACCACCAACTAGTAGCTAACGTTCCGGTCTGCAGATTAGGAGGTCCTAGGTTCCATATATCGCTGTACACACTCCGGACTGTCCTCTGTATGTTTTTGTGTAGGGGGTCATAAATGTGGCAGTTAATACACTAATTGTTCAAGAGTAGTCAATGGAGACGACGAGTCAACAGTCCCAAATTAGTAAAAGCTATGCCGAGTCAGTTGTGTCTCTCTGAATTGGCCGTTTAGACAATGTGTTACTTACGGTGCCGTTCAGGTTAAAAATAACAGAACTAACAAGTAGAGGTCGTGTGTTTCATTTATCCATTGCTTATGTACGCTGGCGTGTTTTCTTTAATAAATATTACTTTTAATAATTGCGGATAGCATGATTACAAACACAAGTACATTAACACGTTGGGCACTAGAGGAGGCCCCCCAGTGGCACAGCGGTATGCCTGCGGACTTACAATGCTAGAATCAGGGTTTCGATACCCGTGGTGGGCAGAGCACAGATAGCCCATTGTGTATCTTTGTGCTTAATTACAAACGAACAAATACTAGAGGAGATTTAGAAACAACTAGACCCTTGCCCCCACCCCAATAATTTTTCTTTTCAGTTAAGTCTCACATTATATGCCTAACTGTTATTTTCTAAGGGTTAAACGTTTCGAGTTTTGTTCTGTTTTGCAACAGATAAAAGTGTATTTTGATTTTTTTAAGATATTATTTTCAGCTCACCGTTACGAGATCGAAACAGTCGCTTGTCTTCCTTGAGTTTAAGGCCATAACCATCTGTGTTAACTTTAATAACAATAGCCTGGGCCTGAGAGTGTTGAAGATTAATCCCCTTTTCTTTAATTGCTTACAAATAAAATATAAGTTTAATTAAGTTTTAAAAACACTAAGATTTCGGGTTATGAGAGTTTACTGTGGTTTGATTGTTACTACTTAGAGTGCTATAATAAATAATATCACGAAGTCTGCGAAAGGAAACTCCAAACTATAACAAATCTTTATCTCCCTGTCACGTTTCACCTCAAATCTCCAGTATTTCACCGCCAACAAAAACCGAAACTCGAGCAGGAAATTATGTCGTGTAGAAATTCCAAGGTAGGTGTAATATCCTCTCAGACATTTTGTTTTATACCTATTAATTAAAAGTTCAAAGTGGGGGGTGTTAACGTTAAACCAGACAACCCCCCCGCCCATACACACACACACACACAAGGTGAGAAATCATAGTAACTTTTCATGAAAAAAATCCAATGAAGGGTGTGTGTGTGTGTAACACTATAACCCGAGCGCTTTCGAAAGGAAGACCTTCCTTCTTCAGGGGTAAATTGGAAAGATGTGAGTTGGGAGAGGGGTTGGGGGGGGGGGGAGACTGTCTTGACAAACCTTTCCGTTTCGGGAAATCCAAATGTCGATCAACAGGAAGTTACGTCTTGAAAAAAATAGATTTATCTATGTCCTATTAAGCACAAAAGCTACACAGTGGGCTATTAGTGCTCTTCCCACCAGTGTTTTAAATATTATCACGTGATGTAGTAAAGTTACAAAGATTCAATATTAAATTTACTCACATCAAAAAATAACAACTAAAGAACTCAAACAAGCAAGCTGTCTTGTGTTTTACCCCTTTACGATTTGTTTGTTTGTTTGTAATTAAGCAAAAAGCTATACAACTGACTATCTGTGCTCTGCCCACCACGGGTATCCAAACCCGGATTCTAGCGTTGTAAGTCCGCAGACATACCGCTGTGCCACTGGGGGGAGGGGGCTTCTTAATACGGGGGCTTCTTCTGTAGCTCAGCGGGAAGTCTTTGGACTTATAACGCTAAAACTCCAGTTTCGATACCCGTACTTAGTACAGAACAAATAACCCACTGTGTAGCTTTGTGCTTAAAACAATCAAACAAATCATTATGGGCGGAACTCATAATAACATCGAAGTTTTAAAGGAGATTCGTTCACCACATTTAATTGTAACTCGTCTTCAACAAATAGGTTTTGTAACAGTTTTAGGTTTAGATTTTATCGCACAATTAAATAGTAACATTCGGCTCGAACAATAAAAAGATGATAGAACCCGAAGATAAAAAAAAATCAAATATCTGTCATTCTGTTTTTGACAGACTAGAAGAAAGCGGAACCTGAAAAAAAAAATCACTGTTTGATCGGTGATGTTAAGGTTGTATATGACGTTTATTTTTCTTGGAGTATTTAAGTTGTCTAGCTACTCTCGTCAACAGGAAACAGAATACCTAAAACGTCTTTGAATAATAAGTTTAAACTAGTTATCAACAACCGTTCGTTTTCATTTGAAGCGCACTACTACACAATGTATTATCTTCACCGTAGAGATCGAACCCCGAATTTTAGCGCTCAAGCCTTACCGCTAAGTTACCGGGAGGCATTACCCCCCACCTCCCCCAGTAACATGTTTTGTGTGTAGCGTGTTTCAGTGACCTTCTTATGTGGCAGACAACATTTGTACCACACGGAATGAAGTTTTACAGATTTTCTTGTGTTAATTAAAGACTTGCAGTATTGAGCATACGGTAAAAACCGTGATCCATAAAGCAGTTTTTACATAATTAGTTAATATTTCACATGTGAACTTTAAATCCAATTTTACGGATATATACCACAAAATGGTTCGTTTTTGTTTGAGCGCAATACTACAAAATGGACTATCCGCAATGTGTCCACCGCGGGGATCGGGTCATAAATTTTAGTTTTAAGCCCCAAACCTTTACTGCTGAACCATTGGGGAACTAAATATGAAAATGGTTCGTTTCTGTTTGAGTAACTGCACAATGAACTATCCGCACTGTGTCCACCGCGGAGATCGGATCACAAATTTTAGTTTTAAGCCCTGAATCCTAACGCTGAGCCACTTCGGGGATTAAAGATAAAAATAACATATTATCATTCGTATAGGAAATCACGAAGAACAGTGTATTGCAAACAAATTAATGTAAAATAATTAATAATGTTACTTAATTTTTTTGTTCAAAGTTTTTTTATGTTCGTTAAAAAAATATACAAAATTCCCTCGATTCCCGAATTAGAGTAGAACTTGCTAAACACAAAAAAAAAATATCACACTTCTATGTTGTAACAAGTAAAATAGGTTACACGAAGAAAGTTTAAGTTTTTGTAATTAATACACGCCCCACGCGCTTTGGAAATCGCAGTCTCGTTTCATTTTGACGTCTTGAACTCCGTTAACTATTTAGTCTTTCTTCGTAGAAATTTACGGTGATTTAAAAATTTAAAATAAAAACAACAACAATCAGAATTAGTGAAACTGAACAATAAAGTATACTGATCTTTCCAATTGTTTTGCAATCTGAGGGTCACGGGTTCGAATCCCTCTCACACCAAACATGCTCGCCATTTCAGCCGTGGTGG